CTGGAGTCAGTTCCAGATGGCCAGCCCACAATGAGAAAAGATGCCCTTTCACATTTATCTCCTATTTTGACATATTTATTGCTTTGCTGCCTTTCCCCCCTTAATTAAATCAAAATAACTGTTGACCTTATGACCTTAGTTTGCTATTTAGTTTTGTCTTTGCATCTCTTAAAACATCTTCCTCATATTACATGTTAATCTGCTGTTCGGCCTTCGTCTAGAAGTTTGAACTCAAGCTTCCTTTCCAATGTATTTGAAAAAAAATGTGCATGCACGTGAAAGCTCACACCTTGAATAAACCTTTGTTGGTCTTAAAGCTGCCACTGGACTCTTAATTTTATGTCTGGAGTCAGTGTGGTGTAGTGGTTACAGCTCTGGACCAGCAACACAGAGATTCATTATCTAGATTCCCACTTAGCTGGGTAACTCGTTCGGTGGCCCCTAGATGCTCTCAACTGGCCATTCTTAAGAATAGGAAATTAATAAATTATTGTATGGCAGTGTGTGTAGTATAGCAAGGAGATCCTAAGACTGTCCGGCAGCGAAAAGTTCTAGCTCTTTTGGAATTATGCACCACTAGGTGGTGAGCTAGACCTTTTTTTTAAGGCAAGAGATGTTCAGAGGTAGTTTGCCACTTCCTGCCTCTGTGTCACAGCCCTGGTATTCCTTGGAGGTCGCCCTTCCAAATACTAGCCAGCAGGGCTTTTTTTGTAGAAAAAGCCCAGCAGGAACTCATTAGCATATTAGGCCACACCGCTGATAGCACAGCTCATTAGCCTATTAGGCCACACCCCCATGTTACCAGAAGTGTGGTCATTCAGCCACACCCACCTTTTGCTTCTTATTCTGTTTACCTTGTTTGTTGTCAAAAGGGCTTTTTTTGTAGCAGGAACTCCTTTGCATGTTAGGCCACACACGCCTACTGTAGCCAATCCTTTTGCCACTGCCTGCCTGTGTCACAGCCCTGGTATTCCTTGGAGGTTGCCCTTCCAAATACTAGCCAGGGATGATCCTGCTTAGTTTCCAAGATCGGGCTAGGCTGGGCTATACAGATCAGGTTGACAACAGGAGGGGCACCCTTACAGAACCAAGGGCCTGCTCCAGCCACGGGAACAGAAGGTTACAGCATCAGTTCGCTGCAGGAGCCAGGACAGAAACTCGCAAGGGCAAATGCTACATGCGCCCACGGGTCACCTCCTGCAGGAGCGCACAGGAGCGGAGCTCCGGCAATAAAGAGCCCAGGGGGTGAGCACATGCAACAAGCCCGCCTCCTGCTCCCAGCAGCCCTCAGTCAGAGCAAGAAGCAGCCAGGTAAGTTGCACAGCG